CCGTATCAGATCTAAGTACGTTCCCCGAACAAACGGGATGCGCAATCGACGTTAGACTNTCAGAACCGAGCGAAAAGACAGAAATCCCTGCTCCGAATATTAACGCTTACAGTCCATCATCCTTACTTAGCGTTCCATGCACCGCGGAGCTAACTCTTCATCCGTTTCCTTCCTTACAATGCACATCCGTCAGGGCCAGAGTCTTTGTGGCAATCTTTCATATTCAGCACGCAATGAACCCTTCATGGACACCAGCTGCATTAGCCTGGCTTGTCGTCCTTGCGGCAGCCTGGGCAAATGGCCCAACGCGATTTAAGTATGCTGCTGCTTGCGGCCAAGAAACAAGCATTCCAAAACTGTCATATCATCCCCTGGTTTCGTTGTATTTGGTTTGCATACAAGTCGACGCGGATACTACCTGCAGTGACCGCCGTATCAGAAGACACTTTTCCTGTACTGGCGGAACCAACAACAGCGAAGTTCAAAAAACCCGACTAGTAGCTAAAAGTCAGCATTCATAGAGTTAAACGTCCCCGTCCGTGACTTGTACATAACAATCCAAGCATCTCCTAAGCGTCTTTCTCCCCCTTCGTAAGGCCATCGCGTCCACCAACGCACGTCTTACATCCGCCCAGTACAGTGCCGTTGAAGCTGTGACGAGTATTATGAACGCCTAAATAATTCATGAACATCCGCTACGTTTGCCTAGCATTGTCGTAAAGGAGGTCGCGTCGGCATCAGGCCATCAACGTTGCGCCCAGGACAACACTTGCTGCAGCCAAGAAACAGAAAGTGTATATGTATTCGTTCATCCCCCTGGTCTTAGGGTTGCCCCTCAGACGACGTAGATACCACCTCCTGGCACCGCCGTACCGGAAAGCACTTTTCCGGTACGGGCAGAGCCAGCAGCATTCCAGGTTCAGAATTGAACCCAAAGGCAGAAATCACCATTCTGAGAGTTGAACGTCGCCATCCATGATTTAGACATACCATTCCATGGCCTGTGCATGCGCGTCCGTGTCCTTCACTACGTTGCCATCACGTCCACCAACGCACACTTGACATCCGTCCTGTCCGGAGCCGTCGTCGCGAGCTTCGACAACATGAATGTAAGCAACATTCGGAACATCCGTCCTGTTTGCATGGGATTGTCGTCCTCCCGCCGGCGGAAAAGCCACTCAACGTATTGCTTAAGAATTCCTTCCCAAGCCTATAACACAAACATAATAACATTGTCCTAGCATTCCATAGCCCTACTTGACTTGCCTACAAGTCCACAGCAACGAGTTGCCCCGGTCGGACCCTCCAAGTCTAGCCCAGTAGCTTACTGTGGGCTGACGTTAGTGAACATGGAATGCAAGCTGTGTGTGTGCTCATCCCCTTTGAAAAAGGTTTGACTACGACTTGACACACAGACTCCCTCCTGCAACAAATGCCCATTTTCTGTACGAGCGTGACGAGCAACATAAGAGATCCAGAACCGACCACACCGGCAGAATTCATCGTTCAGTTCCTTAAACCTTCATTTACGGTTTC